ATGTTTTGAAAAAAGTTACCTCCCATAGACATAACACGCAAATATGACAAAATTGTATTGTCGCCTTTAATCGAATATTTCACTATGATGACGTCATCTAAATGAAAAATAAATGGCATATTTTTGATAGAGAATTATCTCAGCTACAACATATCAAAATCTGAGAGAAAAGTGATCACAGATAAGTGAGATAATCTCAATTGAACAAAGACAAAAATGACGTCATCAACAAAATACATTTGTTTGAGTTTAGATGCCAATATGATGACTTTGTTTCACTTTGTACGAGTCAGTGTGGTATGAAATCATATCTCCAACTCATGCTTTTTCCAACCATGATATAAAAATTGGGGGTCGATGGACTATCTGAAGAGCTATTTCGATTTTTAAAATGGCATGTTTTTGATGAAATTTGCATAATAATAGCATAAAATAAGATGAATAAAATTGTGAATCATTATGTTGTGCTTTTTTCCTCCTTATTATTGTTAGAGTGAACTAGAAAAGCACTCTACAAAATAAACTCATAGTATTAGAAGTTTAACTACATGTATATACCTTGCAAGTGGGAACTTGTCCTATCCTGTTACAATTATAGATATAGAAGTCAGGGGCGGATCCAGGAATTTCTTCCCGGGGGGGGGGGGGGGGGGGGGGGGCACACGGGAGGGGAACACGGGGGGTAAGAAGACATTTTTAGTCCAAAAAAAAAATCGCAACAACTCGGCCACCACTGAATAAGCGTGGGGGGGGGGGGGTAAGAGCACATTTTAATATTTTTTTGGTCCCGATTATTTGAAAATCGCGCCGGCGGGGGGGGGGGGGGGGGGGGGGGGAGTGTACACAAATTATTATTATTATTTTTTGGGCCGGGGGGGGGGGGGGCACGTCCCTGTTTGCCAGTACATTTTTGGCGAATTTAGGGCTGATTTTAACATTTTGGGGGGCCAGGGGGGGCACATGCCCCCTGTGCCCCCCTGTATCCATCCCTGGAAGTATATAACAATATTGTATGTCATCATCTAATGATATGTCATATATTTATGTTTTTCTGTGAATATTTATTTTGTATTGCTCTTGTTCAAAATTGCTGCTCATGCTTACTGTATTGGTATTGTATTGATATTTTGATAATTGTTATTATGAAAAGAGTTGGTGTACTCTTACTTATTTATCATATTTGTTTTGTTATCATACTGCACTGGTTATCATATTAGTTATAATGCTATACTTGCTCATAATGTAGATGTAATATCAAAAGGGTGTATCCTGTGTTGTTTGTTGTGAAAGAGTGATATATGTCATGGTTAATATTTTAGATTTGAATATGCAATGATTGGAAGGCAACACAAGTTTGCTGTTTATTTATTTATGCATGCATATTTTCAAAGGGATGATTTCAGTACCTGATATTGTATAAATTATTAGTCATAACTTATGTTGGAAACTCTTATATTCCATATAACTATACATCTATATTTGTTTGTAAATCTCATACTCTAATATAATTTGAATGTAGGTCCCCCATATTCTCCTGGTTACAGATCCAGAAACCCTCATTTGGATGAGGATGGAGGCTGTAGGCCTAAGTTTGCTTGTTATAGCTTACTTGATTGTATGTAACATATCCGTGAACTGGTGCATATACCACTGGCAAGTTATTAGGAACTGTCACAAGTGTAGCTATATCATATACCATCTTTGACTCATTAGTAAGGGGCAAAGCATCACATGAGGAATATCATATACCCCCTTTTAATTTAATCAATGTAGTTAAAATCCTGGGGTTTGCTTCCCCATGCTATGTACCCTTAGGATTGATGCCCCTGGGTAATATTGTTTGTTTCTCATTACAATATTCACAACTGATCTAATGAAGCATATGATGAATTTTATGTGAACAATGCCATTGAAATTTCAGAAACTAATGTAATATACCATGATTTAGTAGAATATTTTATATTTACACATGACACATTGTAATAGTGTTACAAATTGTAAAATTTGAAGATTGAATCAATAACTTTATAAGTCCAAAGAACATCAATATAAATACAAAAAAATACTTTGTCATATTACCCTTTGTGATTTAATAGAAAATGTACTGCTGAAAGATAAATTGAAATTCTGAAACGGTTACTAGAGTCATTGTTTTTTTTTCTCCAATAATACGGGCTTCGCTGACACAGATAATAATGAGTGCATTTTTGTCTGTGTACCTGCATGCGTGTGTCTTAATCTTTTATCTACATTAATACTGTTTTCCTACTACAGTCATGCTTCTGATTCAACTTTTGTTCTACATAATACCATACTACCATCCTACTTTTACTCCTTCCTACCTCTAGCATCATCCTACATCAACCTCTACTACCATCCTACCTTTACTACCTTGCTACACCTCTACCACCACCCTACCCCCAGGCGCCTACACAGGGGGGTGTTTGAGGGGTTAAACCCCCCCCCTTTGGTAATTTTTTGTGTGTAAACCCCCCCTAAATTTCTCTAAAACCCCCCCTTTTGGATTTTTTTTTTAAATTTTAATTTTTATTAAAAAAATAAAAAAATTCGCATGATTGACCTAAAAAAGCTGACCTTACCCCCCCCCCCCAACGGAGCAAAATGTCAAATTTTCAAATTTCGAGACCAAAAAAAAAAAAAATGTGTCCTCTTACCCCCCCCCCCCCCCCCCCCCTTACCCCGCTTATTCAGCGGTCGGCTGAGTCGTTGCGATTTTTTTGGGACCAAAAAAAAAAAAAAAAAGTGACCTCTTACCCCCCCCCCCCCCCCCCCCCCCCCCCCCCCCCCCCCCCCCCCCCGCTTATTCAGCGGCTGGCTGAGTCGTTGCGAAATTTTCGGCCCGATTTATAAATGTTAAAACCCCCCCCTTGAAAAAATCCTGCGTACGCGCCTGCCTACCCCTACAACCATCCTTCCTCTACCACCACCCTTCCTCTACCACCATCTTACCTCTACCACCACCCTACCTCTACCTTCACCCTGTCTCTACCACCTCCCTACCTCTAACACCACCTTGCCTCTATACAACCACCACCCTATCTCTACTACCTCTCTTCCTCTACCAGCACCCTAAATCTACAACGATACACCTGCCACCACCCTACATCTACTACCTTTCTCCCGGTACTACACCACCCTACCTCTATCACAACCCTACTACTTTTACCATCATCCTTGACCTACTACCACGTACCTACCCTATCATGCACCTTCCCCTAGGTACCACCCCCTACCTCCTCCGACACTCTAAACTTTAATTACCACCGCCCTTCCTCTACCACCACTGTACCTCTACTATGCACCCTTCTTCTATCACCTCCCTACATCTACCACCAACCCTCCTCTACTACTCTATACAACTCTTCCTCTACCAGCACCCTACTACTTTGACCACCCTCCTTTCACCTCTCCTACCACCACCCTCCCATACTACCACCAATTACTCCCATCCTTTTCCTATCACCACCCTCCCCTATTCCTTTCACCACCTCCCTACCTCTACCACCACCATCCTACCTCTGCACCACCCTACTCCTACCCTCGCCTACAACCACCCTTTCCCTACAACCACCCTACCCTACCACCACCTTTCCTCCCACCACCCTATCTCTACTACCACTCTTCCTCTACCACCATCCTAAATGACTATCTTACACCTACCACCAACTTGCATCTTCTCCTCCCGATATACCACCCTACATCTACAGCCCTACCTCTACTACCATCCTTCCTTCCACTACTACCATCATATACCTCTACTATTAGCTACCACCCTCCCTCTATCACCACCCTACTACTTTTACCACCATCATTCACCTACCACCACGTACCTACCCTACCACCAACCTCCCCTACCTCTTCTACCACCCTACCCCCACCACCCTCCCCTACCACCATCCTACCCCTGCCCCAACCCCCACCCCCATAATACCCCTACCACCTCCATACCTCTACCACCACCTTGCCTCTACACCATCACCCTATCTCTACCACCGCTCTTCCTCTGCAGCACCCTAGATCTACCACCCCCTCCCCTATATATACCCCCACTTGACCCAGCCCTACCTCGATCACCATGCACCATCCCAGTTTAGCTGTATGATAGCTGCCATCGGGATTATCTCTACAAGTAACAAGTAACCACCCTACCCCTACCCCACCCTTTCCTACCCAACTCTTGGCTACTCCCACCCTTCCCTACCCCTTATACCACCACCCTATACCCCTACCACCTCCCTACCAATACCACCACCTTGCCTCTACACATGCTCTACACCATCATACCCTATCTCTACTACCACTCTTCCCCTGCAGCACCCTAAATCTACCACCACCCTACAACTACTAGTACCCTATATCTACTATACACCACCCTATATCTGGCACCATCCTACCTCTACCACATATTCTATTCCACTCTTCCTCTACCAACACCATGCATGTCCCCACCTCTTCTACCACCCTCCCCGTACCCCCACACGACCCCGCCCTCCCCCACACGACCCCGCCCTCCCCCACACGACCCCGCCCTCCCCCACACGACCCCGCCCTCCCCCACCATGCACCACCCTCCCCCACCATGCACCACCCTCCCCCACCATGCACCACCCTACACCACCCTACCCCACCTTCCCCTACTCCCACACTACCCCACCACCAACCTTCACCACCTACCACCACCCTCCAGTACTAGTCTAGAGGCTCCAGGCACTAGTAAGTTCAACTACAATTTTAAGAACTAGAAGGCTCTCTGGAAAGGGTGTTTGTTTCATTTTGTTCTGTTGAATGTTTTGTCTTGTTTTTTAATTCTATTATCAACATTTCGTTATTGTTAATTTTTTTAATTTAGTCCATTTATAGACCTACCCCAATTGCATAGATTTCAAATTCCTGCTAGCTTTGCGCCTTGTACTAAGACTAACTTACAGCCGCCATTTCTGAACGGTGCGCCTGTTAAAAGTGTTAGATAAACTTACTTTCAGCTGTTGTCTAACTTTACTCTTTGTTTTGATTTCCCAAATTAGAAAAAAATATGTAAGTATAATGCATCCATGAGGATAATGAGTGGTTAATGATTGACAATGTAATTTGTAAACGTTATTGAGCCTTCACGATCCTTTGCTTGTGTAGACTACAGCCGTTTCTCTACCTTACTTGCTCATATCCAGCGGGGATTGAGCATATTTTGTGCCGCAGGTTCGGGTGGGATAATTGAGCTTTCGCCAAAGGCTTTCTTGAGTGCGCTTGATAAATGATGATGCTGATGCGATGGTGCTTGGCCGTGGCCGTGGCGTGGCCGTGGCGTGGCCGTGGCGTGGCCGACTGTCAAATCTGAGAATGTCCAATGTATGCATGATGAATTAGCTTAAAATATTATCGTCTGACTCTTGTGTTATATCGTTGATTTAACCATCAATAATTTCTGACAGTCTTCAGGTGCCGTTTCTCGAAACCGGTGTCTGGTCAGGTCGCCCCTAAGCCGGTCGCCTCATATACGCAGTCGCCTCCTATACGCAGTCGCCTCCTAACGTAGTCGCCCCCAAATTGTGTGGTCGAGTCGCCTCCTATACACAGTCGCCTCCTATACACAGTCGCCCCCTATATACACAGTCGCCCCCTACGTACAAAGGCAGTACGCTAGCGCAGCGGTCAGAAGCAGGTTATTTAATGTAATGATGTCCACCTTCTTCTAGTTCTAGATAACTATTTTGTGCTAAAGTATAATGTGATAAACGTTTCATTTTATGTTGATGCAACAGAGATTTACATTCAAAGGTTTTACTTTTTATAATTGTACAGTAATATTCTTCTCATTTCGACATTATCAGCCACTGGTTCTCTGTTTCATTCCCTAAACTAAATAAAAGGTATGTGAGGGGGGGGGGGGGGGTTAGAAAGTTTGACGTAGCCTGTATAGACCGTACTGTATTCATTGTTATGATATTTGTCTCTCCTCCTCCAATCACTCCCTTCCGGCTCTGATTTTGTTCTTTAGTTTTTTCTCTTTTGGTGTGATTATATCTTTTCGCTAAAGTATAATTTCAGACGTATACCATCAGGAATATGTTATAATAATTAATCTCAAGGAAGGGATGATGCCGGGATACAAGCAAATGGCGGAATAGACAACATTATAGAAGATGAAGATGGACATAGACAGAGAGAGGGAGAGAGGGGGGAGAGTGGGTTGGCGGGAGATAGAAAGTTGGACGTAGTCTGTACTGTATTTATTATTATGATATTTTTCTCTTAATCCTTGTCTGAATTCAGTTTTCCCTCACCGCGCTGACGTTTCATTAAATTATTAGAGAATGGTTTTCGACTCTTAATCCTTGTCTGAATTAAGTCCCCCCCCCCTTCCGCATGAAGCGCGGAAGCTTTGACGTTTCATTAAATTATTAGAGAAAGAACAAAAAAGACGATTCGTTGTACCGACTCTTCATCATTGTTTGAATTATCAAAAATGTTTCTTTGTTATTATTATTGTTTCAGCGTTATCCTCCGCGCGCTTTATAATAATGAAGGACAAAAGCACCGCGACATAGTAATAAGGTATGTATTTGGAAGAATAACTGCTTTTTATTTGTGCACAGATTAAAAGAAAAGTGACATCTATACACAAAATAAACATAAATTATTATACAGGTTAAGGTTGGAACCTACTAGTGCTTTCGAATACTTGAAAAGATGAGCAGATGTCCCTTACAATATTCATTAAACAAAATCACGCACTTATATATATATATATATATATATATATATATAATGAATTGAGAGTAAAATTAGATAACGTTTCGTTCATTTGGGTTTACTGCCGAAAGCTTTTATTTCGATCTGTTTGCTTCATAATAAATTTATATAAGTCATATCAATTATAGCTCACTTTTAATTCAATGTAGAGACATTCTCTTCTATTTCTATTTTTAAACTTTTACAACTATCTCATGACGACACGTTCTAGTATGGGTCTTGTAAGTAGTGAACACAAACTATATGGGATTAAAAAGGGATCTGAAAATGCTCTAATTTGCTTGCGTGTACAAATTATACTTGAGAAAAGCTAAGAAAGCCAATCTATTAAATCCTTATTATCTCTATAGCCTGTGGATACTCCCTTAAGTTCCGTCACTAAGCCAGCCAGAACGATTTATTTATTTATTTATTTAAAATGGTTTATTTCATTAAAAAACATTCGCGGCCCGAGAGCCGAATCAGTTTCTTTTACAAAGTATACATCAGTGACAAAGTAAAATTACACATAAAAATTATGCATGGTAGCATAATGGTAGTAAAATTGCAATTCTTTTGTACATAATTGTGCTTCAACGACCTTGGCAAATTGCTTGGTACACTCTGAAAACTGAAATGTTAAATCACAATTTAAAAGGGCCGAGGAGTGACCACTCTTTCAAAATGGTAGATTAACACTTTGAACATGCTGGATCCAATACTATAAAGGTCGAATCTAGCAGGTTAAAAGAAACAATCTGACATTTTAAAAGAGTGGTCACTCCTCGGCTCTTTTAAATTTACATTTAACATTTCAGTTTTTAGAGTGTACATATACAGAAATCTGAATTGTATTACCATATTTGCAATTAAATTATATACTGAACTTATACAATATATGAATAGTGATACATTTTTGATATTCAAAAGAATTAAATGTTTTAGTTGGAAAATGCGTAGCCAGATGGGTATGGTTATATGATATGGTTATGGTGTTTTCTTCAATAACAGAAACAAAGACAACAACAGAAACCAAATCCAGGAATTATAAAGTCAAATAGATGCTCCAGTAATTTAAACAGATTATACATTGTAGGCAAAATGCAGAACATTGTGTATTTGGGCCAATTTACTAAAAGGTACATGTAGAATATGATATTGCATAAAAATAAGATAAGTTTCGCATAAAAAACATGGGTAAAAGTTTGCCATTGTAATATTCGATATAATGTGCATCATCTTGGGAATTGTTAAAAAGTCAAACAGGATTTTATACAATTAAAACTGATTTAGTTTAAAAAAAAGTAAAATTCTATATTCTAACCCTAGTAACATTATTAAAAAATCCATTCACATGTCACCCTTTTATTTAAGAACTTATACCAGAGAAAGAGAGAGAGAGAGAGAGAGAGAAAGAAGGAGAGTGAGAATAGGGAGAGAGAGGGGGTGGGAGAGAGATAGGGAGAGATAGAGGGAGAGAGAGAGGAGAGAGAGATAGAGAAAGAGAGAGAGAGAGAGAGAGAGAGGGGGGGGGGGGGGGACAAAGAGTGAGAGTAACAAGACAGTGAGCTAGCCAGAAAGCCATGAAGAGGGTCTCCCCGCTTCGCAGCACAGCACTGACAGAGAGGAGACAATAATATTGAGAGAGTGATCAATGTGTTAGTACGTAAGCTGGTGGAAACTTAGATGCAAATATCCTCGAAAATATGCGTTACAATGGAAAAACTCGAGGAAAATTTTCAATATTTAGTAATATCATAGAACTGAGATGCCAGGAACTAAAAATGGCTTGACTTTGAACTTGTAAAAGACATCAAATTAAAACAACAAATTAGGGGGCGAGCTGACCAAAAAACTGGGGCGAGCTGACCAAGAATCCCAAAATCGGCAAACAAAATCGGGAGGCGACATGACCAATTGAGGGCGACTTTGTAAGGGGGCGGGCTGACATTAGGCGAGCTGACATGGAACCTCGAAACCAATGACAATACATAGACTAGCCTCTAGATCTAATTGATATTTGGTCTACAGTCTTAACTTTATCTGCCAAATACGGAGATGTCTCTGATTTTCCTAAACCATTTGATCTTGCCAAAAAGGGGGTCGTGAAACACGTAGTGGACAAGTAGCTTACTTAAAAGGTTTCGAAAAACGGGCTCCAGATATTGATTGGAACAAATGATCATGGGAAGTCGCAAGAAAGGGTGGTTTTACTTTGTAGTCATTTTGACATTGCCTGATTAAGTAGTCTACATTTGTTTATGCAATGTCATGATGATTTCTACATAGTCTGGAAAAAATGCCTTAGAAGAGAAAATGCTGTGAAAGATGTTTGTAGGGCGGGAAATTTCTGGTTTCTCTTTAATTCAGGTACCCGCCCAAAATGGATACCGGTACCCGAACATAAAAATAGTCAAATCTGCTTCATCTAGTACTTTTGTTAGATCTAAATGTTCCTAGAATAACCTGTTCTAAGTTTGACTATGTATAGCAGCTAAATACTTTTAGACATGTACATGTATACCTTCAAGGTATACCTTGAGTAATATAAAAATATTTACATTTTAAGTCATTTTCATACATGTTTGCCGATGCTTAGTACTATTATCATGCCTCTGAAAGTAAAAAACTTCATGCAGGATGAAAGAATCAAGGCTAAAAAAACAATAATGTTGGAATAATAAAATGGCTTTCCAAGAAATTCTTAGTATAATTTCTCAAAGACCAAACAATAATTTTCTCTTATTCTAAACTAAATAAAAACTAAACGAATGCAGAACCTTTAATTGTCAATATTTTGTCAATAGTTCCACATTTTGTCACCCACTTATAAATATTATGACAAGGTAATTTGAGGTTCCTCTCTCAATTGATGGTGCCAGATTTCTTTTCTTTTCTTTTTTGTTTAAGATAATGAAGTTTATGAAGTTTGGGCATGTGTGAACAATGAACATGGACAGTTCATATATGCACAAGAGGAGCACTACATGCTCTACAGCAGTGTGTGAAAAGGCATTCCAATCATAAGCATTTATATGCAAATTTCAGGGACCATTCCATTTGAAATTTAATCCTTCTTTTTGATAATCTTGTCTTATTGTTTCCAGAAAATTACAGTGCCCTTTCGCAAATGTTCTACAAAGCTACATGTACTTTTTTCACAAACAAATAATAAATAAATTATATGTTGTAAATTATATTGAATTAGGTCTAATTCTAATTTACAAACAGTCAAGGTCAAGATGTCTGAGGGTCCTCTTCCTAGTCCACCACCATGGACAAGCTTCTTGGTTGGTGTGTCAGCAGGTGCAGTCACTGTTGCTTCAGTAGCTCTCTTGTGGCACTACAGGAAGAGTCTCAGACACAGGATTCAAGGCAGCAATGGTGAGCTTCCACCGTTACCGCAGTCAAACTGATGAGATCAACCCCTAACTGACAAATACCAACACCAGACATTGACTAAAGGATCTGAACAGATTATTACATTAACAGGCGCACAGAGTTTCCAAGCCAGAAATTATATTACAAATCGACTACCTAGACACGACTTAAAGAACTAGACTAGGCGTAAATAGTCAAATTTGACTGAACACCATAAATACAACCAACAACAACATTACATTCTTGATACTAGTAATAGAGACATGCTCTTCTCGCTCTGTTATTGTTTTAAATTCAATGGGACATACTGTTCTCTTTGTGAAAATTGGATTCTTGAATAGCATTATAATGGGAACAGGGTGGAGATAGTGATCAGCATCACCTCTTCAATGTAAACTACTTTTTCATCTTTAAAGCTACTTGTGATAAATAATATGGAAAAGTAATTGAATTAAGTGAAATTGTATCCTAACATAATTGTGCCATAATAGATGGTTATGATTGATATCCTTGTAGGTGGGAGAAATGGTCATCCTTCATCAGAGCCCCGCCCTGTCACCCCAGATACCCTGGATGGGACCGCTGCATTCAGCACTCAGCGATCCCTCTTCCTCACCGACAACAACCTTGGCTTAACGTCCCAGCATGCTTTGACAGTGACTGACATGTCTGTGACAGCTGAAGTGATGGGGAGAGGAGGAGGTGGTGGTGGTGGTATTGGGGGTGTTGGTGGAGGGGGAGGTGGTGAAGATGAACAGGGTGATCCAGACCAGCTGTATAGACATGAGAATAACCAGAGCCTGCTTAATTTACTGTTTAATATTGCAGAAGACCAAGCAAAGAAAGGTGAGAGAATGGTATATTTTGTATTTTGTACATATATCTCTACAAATGATCTTTAACAACATTTTTTCCTAACAGATTTGATTGATAATGTATAAATCAGTTTATACAAAGTATATCATAAGTTTCACAGAAGAGCCCTAATGAATGCACAGCCTGCAGGCGTACATTTCTAGAAATATATATGACAGTAATTATATTAAATGTTAATTTTGCCCTTTTATCTTGTTTTTCTTTTTGTTTGAAGAGGGATTTATACATCGAGGCATCACATGTAATATGTGCCAGGCTAGTCCAATATGTGGAATAAGATACAAGGTAAGCAGCATACAGGTGTGCTTGACTTGAGAGACATCCACCCTTTACCTTTCTTCACAAAGTATATGCAAATAGTGTTGAATGAAATGGAATGTGTTTTTGTATTTGTTAGTGAGAATTCTAAAAAAAGTTATCATTATTTGTAGCATGATGTCAGTAGTACATGAATAAGAAAATGTTTTATACCTTTCTTTGTTATTTTAATTTATTTAATACTCTCTTTTCTCAAAGAGGGGTACTAAATGATCAGTAGATATTGGTAGGGTTCTATCATCTTCTTGCCCTCATGATTCCAAGTGATACAATGAGACAATTAAATCTATATAGATCAGGGCTCCACATTATCTTCTTTTTTTGTCACAGGGGGTGGAGAGTGTGATTGATAGTGATCTTTATGTACAGTACAGACCCTGGCTGTTACTCTTCCTCAGTATTCTGGGCCCATGTGTACTGGTCTACTATCGGTATTGAGCCCTTAGTTGATTATGATCAGTAGTAAAAGAACTTAATCTTTATATTTGACTTTTATCTTTTATTTTTTCAGTGTGCTAATTGTGTTGACTTTGACATCTGTGAGCGCTGTGAACCACATGACAGACATAACAGACTGCATACATTCATTAAGATTAAGATCCCCATACCACCCCTAGCTAATCCTAGGACTGTGCTCTTCAAACCCTTCTATCCAGGTGAGATTTCAGATCTTTAAGAATTAACTTTCCACAATTTGTAGGGCAATTCCACGGTAACGGAAGGACACTCAGACAAGATTTTTGAACTTCAGGTTCATACTAAAAGAACTGTTTTATTAGTATAAGATGTGAAACAGTACAGATATAATACCTATATAAGTGCCTTTAATTCTCCCCCCAAAAATTGTCATTATAGTTAAGTAGTTTAAGAATGTGCATATTAATTATCTCGGTAACGGAAGGACATAAAAATGGACATGGTTTTTCCAGTTAATTAGTGTTTATCCAAACTTTGTGAAGTTGATGAAGCTTTCCACTTGACTGAAACACATTTTGTTCCCCATAGTTTAATACATACTAATAAAACATTTCTTTTAGTATGAACCTGAAGTTCAAAAATCTTGTCTGAGTGTCCTTCCGTTACCGTGGAATTGCCCTGTATTATTCAAGCATGGATGCCTATGAATAGATTTCTTAAATGTTTTAAATCTTGAAGAATAATCAATTTTGTTCGTTTTTTTTATTGACAATTTTTTAATTTTTTCTCATTTATAAGTGTGATTGAAACTAATTCGTAGACATCTATGTATTTTGTTTTTCTCCAGGAAAAGAAAAAGTGATTAAACGGGTCACATGGGATGATGTCAACAAATTGAAGAAAATAACTCATTGTAAGTATTAGGCATGATCTACCGTTACTCAAAATTTAACTTGGTTTAAGGTATTATCATACTCTGTATTTTATTTATTCTTGTGAACAAAATTCGAAAAAATGTTAAGAGCTAGATGCTAGCTTATATTTGTAAAGAATGTAGAATAAATCAATATTCTATGTGAAATTGGCCCACTTGACTGGGAATTTTCATTGAGCATGGTCATTTAAACATTTTTGAATTGGCAATTCGCAAAAATGAGTTACTCTAGTAAAGTTGTAATACATGTAGATCATCAGTTAAGATAATGGTGTTTTGTGGTGTTGTGTTTGAATGACAAAATAGTAAGCAGATCAATTATCAATGAATACTCCAGTCAAATGCGACATTGTGGGTTTTTTCTTCCAGTTTTATTCATCATAAGTTGATTTTGTTCAGAGAAGCACAAAAGCAGAACTAATTACTTGAATAATGAGAGAGAGCTTCCTTTCTAAGATTATATCATTGATTGCACTATCCATATTTCATTCTATCTTTCATTCTATCCCCAGTTGATCAGTACGAGATAGAAGCCTTACATGAGCAGTTCAGAGTACTCTGTAACAAGGAACAAGGAATCACCAGAGAGGTGTATGATCAGTGTGTAGGACCTCTGGGTTTAGAGAAGAGCCTACTCCTAGAGAGACTGTTCAAGGTGAGTACCAAGTTCATAGTATAGAGTGCTATATAACAAGGAGCAAGGAATCACCAGAGAGGTGTATGATCAGTGTGTAGGTCCTCTGGGTTTAGAGAAGAGCCTACTCCTAGAGCGACTGTTCAAGGTGAGTACCAAGTTCATAGTATAGAGTGCTATATAACAAGGAGCAAGGAATCACCAGAGAGGTGTATGATCAGTGTGTAGGACCTCTGGGTTTAGAGAAGAGCCTACTCCTAGAGAGACTGTTCAAGGTGAGTACCAAGTTCATAGTATAGAGTGTTATATACCTCACTTAAGTAATCCAGCCCTCTGATTGGTCGAAATTGCATTCATAAACTTCAACTGTTCCTGTAAAATTCTCGGTAACCATGCATAAAACATTTCACTATTTTTAATAACCATGGTTATTAAAAAAATAGGTCAGCCTCCATGGTTACCCCATAGGTTTACATGTTAAAAAATGGTTTGAGCGATCGAGGATACCGTATGTGTGCGAAGGATTGGTCGGTAATTTCAATACAATTGAATCTCGATCGATCTTACCGACAATTTTATCTTGCATTGTTGACATGAAGACGAAAATAAACTTCCAAAAACAAAAAAACAACATCTGCCGATAGATCTTGATCTAAGTTCGTGCCAATATGCATTGCAAAAGTAAAAGAAGGGTCCGTTTAATGGAGCTTTTGCGAAGCATTCATCACGCCGAAGCCGGTTTCAATCCATTTTAATGTATATATTGTACAAAACTGCCAAGCACGTGAACAGCGCGCGATGGACGAGTGGTGTAAGGCGTTGGTGAAAGCTTCATCACTCATTGTACGCAAGGGTTCGACTCTCACCTTCGCCAAAAAAAAAGAGTATTTTTTATTTTTTATTTTTTAGTCTATTTTTTTTTCGGCATATAAAAGTATTAATGACTGCTTTAATATTCGAGAAATAGTTGTTTTTATACGCTCTCGGGAAGGTTACAATTGGGCTATTCCCCTCGGCACGCCTCGGGTAATAGCACAATTCTAACCTTCCCTTGAGCTTATAAAAACAACTATTTCTCTCAAAGCAGTCATTAATACTATACTATATAACAAGGAGCAAGGAATCACCAGAGAAGTGTATGATCAGTGTGTAGGACCTCTGGGTTTAGAGAAGAGCCTACTCCTAGAGAGACTGTTCAAGGTGAGTACCAAGTTCATAGTGTAGAGTGCTATATAACAAGGAGCAAGGAATCACCAGAGAGGTGTATGATCAGTGTGTAGGACCTCTGGGTTTAGAGAAGAGCCTACTCCTAGAGAGACTGTTCAAGGTGAGTACCAAGTTTATAGTATAGAGTGCTATATAACAAGGAGCAAGGAATCACCAGAGAGGTGTTTGATCAGTGTGTAGGTCCTCTGGGTTTAGAGAAGAGCCTACTCCTAGAGAGACTGTTCAAGGTGAGTACCAAGTTCATAGTATAGAGTGCTATATAACAAGGAGCAAGGAATCACCAGAGAGGTGTATGATCAGTGTGTAGGACCTCTGGGTTTAGAGAAGAGCCTACTCCTAGAGAGACTGTTTAAGGTGAGTACCAAGTTCATAGTGTAGAGTGCTATATAACAAGGAGCAAGGAATCACCAGAGAGGTGTATGATCAGTGTGTAGGACCTCTGGGTTTAGAGAAGAGCCTACTCCTAGAGAGACTGTTTAAGGTGAGTACCAAGTTCATAGTGTAGAGTGCTATATAACAAGGAGCAAGGAATCACCAGAGAGGTGTATGATCAGTGTGTAGGTCCTCTTGGTTTAGAGAAGAGCTTACTCCTAGAGAGACTGTTCAAGGTGAGTTTATGTACCAAGGGTTCTCATCTATGTTTAATATTATCATTGTCAATTCCAAGTGGGGTGGACATCGCGAAAAATACCAAGAGCAAACTCTTCCCTGACAAGGTGCTAGTAAGGTTATTAATTGTATCAATGCTTACTATCAACCTTCTTTCTTCCGAGGGACGGATCACCATCACACTCAAAACATGTATGTATCTTGCAGAGCCAATGAACTGAGTAGATTTTGGTTTGTAAAAAGGCTCTATGCCTATGGCGGAGGCATTGTTTTCAACTGCACGCAGTCAAAGGTCCATCTAGTAATGTTTGTCAGTATTCAATCACAGGTACATGTTTTATTTGTTTAAAATGATTTCTCTTGGGTGTTTTACTGTTCTTTATTAGCAACCATTTCTGCAGTATGCGTATAACCCTAGCCCTAATCAATCGATTGATGCTGTCTTAATTTGCAGTACTATGATGCCAATGGTGATGGCTACATTGACTTCACCGAGTTCACCTGTGGTCTGTCGACACTGGTCAAAGGGTCCTTTCAGGAGAAGGTCAAATGTAAGTCAAGATTTGATTGTGGATTTTCATCCTTTTGGATTGTTTTTATTAAAATCAAAGGATTTGTATATGACTCTATGATAACATTTCCTTAAAAGAATATAACATAGCGAGTACCCTGGGAGCAATATCCTATTTGTAATGTATATGATGTATGGCCTAGTTTTACAACATGTGCTTCGGCAATAATTGTACTTTGGTCAAATTCTTAAACTATTATAATTGAGTATTTGGTGTCAGCTGTGCCTGGGAGGGGCAAAGCATACTGAATCACTGTAAATATTGGGTCTCCCCTCCTGGTATAACTACTCTTATACAAATAGTGCAGTGGGTTCTTAACATGCAAAGGTGGTGACTCTCCAGTACACAGTGCCTCCATTTATCATCCTATTCAAGGACTTTACCTTATTTTGTACTCATTTTGCTCTCTGTATTAGATGCATTCGAGGGGTATGACCTGGAAGGAGTGGGTAGCATCAGTAGAGATAACCTGAGACAGATGTTCAAAGCTTACTTCTATGTTACTATTGAGCTGGTCAGAGATGTGGTGAAAGCATGCGAGGAAGAAATGGTAAGATTCATCAAAAAGTGCTCAAAATTAAAAAAAGTATCATTAATATGGAAGGAACAAGTTTAAGAATACCAAGTACCTATGCTAACAATGCTTTATTTATGTAAATATTGGCTTATAAATTTGAAACTTAATCAATATCTTACCCATGCCATATAAAAAATGACACAATCGTCACTGAATTGAACTTAACATGTTAACATCAAAATGTCTTGGTATAATGATCAGATGTAGTCATTTTTAGGAGATGGGACTTTATTGCATTTTAAACATCAAAAACAAAAGGTTTAAGTCTGTACACCTTGAAACATTGAATATTCATCATAACTCTAATTATACAAAGATTCTGAACTGCCATACCATCTTGCAAGTTAGTCAGGAATATTCCTTGGCTTTTTGTTGATTTTTTCAGATGGCAAACTTTGATGACAACCAGGGTCGTCCTGTCTCGTCTCTCTTCAGTGCTCCTATTCCATCAGACACCGGGGCACAGATAACCACCACCAATGGCAAGATCCCTTTCCCTGGCAATCCAGGAAGCAAGTATGTCATCTCTTCTTGTTCCCTGGCAATCCATTGAAACATATTCGTTTTTTAATACGTGTTTAATGTTTCACAGAGATGTTGGCATACCTCGTCTAACTTTCCAGGTTGCTTCTCAATTGCTTTTTAAACAGTGGCTTCTTATTTTAGCTTTTACTGGTAGACTAAATTTGATTTTTTTTTTTTTTTTTTTTTTTTTTTGTTGTTGATTTTTTAAATAATTTTTTATATATATATTTTTTTAGACTAGTGGGTTTTCTGAGAATGAGTAAACACCCATTTTTTAATACTTGATTCCTATGGATTCCTATGGAATATTTGCTCTCAATATCTCAGACACTAAGGCTGAGATATATCAAATGATGAATTCTGACCTGTGACATCCTGGATAGAATAATGAAAAGACTAAAGAGAAACCAAGGAATACTATAGAACAATGAAGAAGAGAGAAACGGGAGATTCTATTAGTGAGAATAAAGAAGGGTGAAATCATTTTAGAAAAGGCTTTGATAGTATGAACATATAAACAGAAGAGAGAGTGAAGTAGAAGGAAGAAGACAATGAGATGATGAGAATGAGGGACATAAACTGCAAGTCAGATAGTGCATACAAATGAAACAACAGAAGAGTTTATCATGTGTTTACTGTGGTTTATTATTGCTTTATTTGTAAACTGATGGATTTGTTAGCACGTTGATTGATTGAATGGTTGAATGATTGCTTGTTTAACAGAGAGGACATGTGGCCAGTAATGGAGGCCATGTCCCAGGATGCTATTGAGGAGATGGTGGACAATGTCTTCAAGATGGCCAAGATTGATGCTGACCAAAGGTAAGTTCAAAGGTCATCTCTTGATCTGAGGTCTTGGCCCTAATGATGCATATCTGGCTCAAAACATGGGGCACCTGATAAAAGAACTCGATTATTTATCTTGACCAATGAAAACAAGTGTTTTCTGCTATGTTTTATTTGGAATTCAGGATAGAGGAGTTCCCCATTTTTCGCAGACTCAATCCTGTATGCAAATATATGAGTTTATATCTCAGGATGTTAAAACTATATGATGCAATTATTGATTAGCTGATATTTACTCCATTGACTCAGGGCCTTATTTTGTCAAAGATATATAGGATAAGGGTTGTAAGTGGGTCTTAGCTGTTGCTTTGGTTTAGCGTTGCTTTGGTTAAGCGTTGGGTTTATTTATAGAAGTTGGTCCCTAATCCAAGTGATAATTTAGAATTTAGAATTCTGCATATAGTTATATTAATGACTGCATATTACTGTGTAATTTACATTGTGTATGTGTGTCTCCTTCGCCCCCAGAATAACCTTGGATCAATTCAAGAATCTAGCTATTGTGGATAGCAGCCTTGTCGCCTGGTTTGACTCCTTAGGACCCATTTTCTGATCTAGAAAGGTGAGTCTTTGGATAAATTTTTACCCTTTGAGTTTGTTGCGCTGTTTTGCAACTTGTGTTCTTTTTCTAACCCATACTTTAAATTCATTTTTTAAATGTGGTATTTGTATAGTATAAGTGTAGTTAAATATAATGTGATTAATAAAATGAATTATTCCTATTGTTGTTTACTTTTTATAGAAACGGTAATTAAAGTTGATTCTAATTTCAAATGGAATTGAAAATCAAATGGCTAAACAAAATAATAAAAAAGAATTCCAGACAGTTGAAAATTGTTTGCTATACATTACACTTCACTTACTGATCTCATAATTTAATACCTTTAAAAAATGAATTTAACTTATTGTGTTCTTATTTTGTTTGTTATGTTATTATTCAGTGCTCTGTGATTGATTCATATTTTGCTTTATTTTTTGTTTCTTTCAGCTTCACCATCATCATCATCTTCATCCTTTTCTCTCTTTCTTCTTGATGGAGGATTCCAGTCTTTCAATCATTGCATGCTTTTGCCAATGTTTGGCTTTCACCTTGTTAATAGATAGTTATGAATATGGTATTCGCTTTCTTTAAACCCAAGCCACATTAAGTCCAATCTGACTATTGATGAACAAAATTTTGCCATTTGGGGAAAGGTAATTAATGGTTTGGTGAATGGCCATTTCTGTCGGTGTGACTTGGGTATGATCATCTTGTGATGGAAACAATAGCTGGAATTCATGAAGGAGGTTTATGTTAGACCTCATTTAAATCTCCATAAACATTGTTCTCCTATCTAATGAATGGGCAACTATACATGTAGCTTATATACCCTCACATTAGTTTACGGTGGAGCTGCTGAAAAAAGCTGCTGATTCCAAGCATATGTGAACTCCTATCCACAGGTGGTGTATACCAGGCATTTCAAACCTGGGCCCTGTATTGTAAAGTTTTGCGATTGATTCAAATCTTTCGCAACCTTTTTTACAAGATGGGCCATGATCTACATTTGACCTCTCCAAATCCTCTCTAACTTGGCCCTGCCACATACACTGTCCCAAGCTTTAATCATAGCACATTTGTTTCATGATGATACAGATAGTATTGTCTTCCATCATTAACATTAATGGTAAGTTAATGGTAGTTGTACATGTATGCGTCATAATTTTGTTGCATGTCAAGAAATATTTTTACTCGGTGATAAGAAAACTGGCACAATCCTTGAATCGTATATATCCAAGCACAAATTGACCTTCTTTAGTCTACTATTCGTGGATCATGAAGATGTTGATGATGGTAATTGTAATGAGATAAAGTTATTATGTCCTATAGTTAATAGTGAAATGGCGCCACCTTGTGGCAGACTTGTAACAGTGAAATACATTTAGTTAATGAAGAGTCTTGATAGCTCTCTCTTGAAGCACATATCTTTGGTGTTACATGATGTTATTTGAGCCTCCTAAGTTGAACTAATATGTACTTCCTATGGTTCTTTGGATTATTAACACTAATGGAACATACCCCTATTCCATCTCCTGTTAGTCCTTATTTACAAGAATTAATCTGAAAATTTTCAGGTACATGTTTCGTTGGGATCACTTTACTTGTGGCTCCGCTGTCTTCCTGAATTGAGATTTTCTTTCCTCTTACCACAAATGTAGCCATTATTTTGTCTTTGCAGTTTGGCATCAAGGCTCTCGCACAATCATAGCCAATCAATAGGCCTATGTCGCAGTCTTGTAGAGGAATGAGCTTGCTGCTAAGATCACGCAGGTGGGGAATAGACTTAGCATTCTCTGGTGTTGGTACATGTGTCCGATCAGCCGGCATGATGTCACATGTGTATGTCGGTGGTAAGACTAATTTGTCCTTGCCATCATGTGCGCGTACACGTAGTCCTTCCACACGTTCACTGTTTATCCTTTGGTTTTTCATCGATAGCGTGGATAGCCGTAAATTGACCTTAGTCCCATGTAGCCCCATTTCGTCCTTGATGGATTTGAGTAAGAAAGTCGTATCTGACTGAGTATCCAGCAGGGGATATGTCGATGTTTCTCCAACACTGTCCTTATGTGACAACCATACAAGAACAATCATCGAGCTTTTGAGAGTTTCTTGACCATCACTTTTCTTTGCAGTGTGTGAGCTTGATGACCTCACTTCGTCTTGGGTTGTTTCTTGATTTGAAGATTGATTCAAAGAGTTAACCCTTCCCCAGTCTTTAACGTGGAGTGCTGTTGGGTGTCGCCTTTTACAGTCCTTACAAGTGCTTCTCTTCTTGTACTCGTTTGAGCGATGACCAACCTTTAAACACCCTTTAGCACAAGCCCTTTTCAACAATCAATTTCTTCTTCTCTTGGATTTGGATTGCCGCACTTGTTACACTTCTTCCCATAAGCTGGGCGTTGCCTTTGTGGTTGGCTACCACCACAATACTTGCATTTATCTACATGCGCAGCTTTGCTGTCATTAGCCTTTACTCTGGCTTTCTGATTAACACTTGACTTGTTTTTTTTTACCTTTAACATCAACACCCTTTCTTCTGAGGGTGTCATATCCTTAATCTGGGCTAGTGCCTTGAAATACTCTACAAACCTTTACACCAGCAGACAAATCCAATTTAGATTCCTGCAATAGTTTCTTCTGTAGCCCAATATCCTTTACGCCACATACAATTCTGTCTCTAATTAGATCATCAGTCAATGTGCCATTTTTTCTTGCTTGGTTTCAAGACACAGTGAAGCCCCTTCCAGGTGTCTCAGTAGCAGGATGTTGGCACTAGCCCCGCTATCCACCTGGAAGTCTACTGCTCTTTCATTGATTATCATCCTTGCATACACCTCATCCCTTGGTTTCACGGTGTTGATGGTGATGGTGACATTGTCGATGTACTCAGTGCTTGTGTCACTGTCAGTCTGATCATCCACTTTGTGCATTCTCTTGCTCACCATGCACACATTGGCAAAGTGGTTTTGCTTTCCACATGCCTTGCATGTTTGTCCGTAGGCTGGACACTTGTTTTTGTCTCTTGGATGTTCCCTCCCACAGTACTTGCATGTAGGTTTTCCTGCTTTGCCAGTGCTGTGCTTGCTTTGACCTCTTTTTGCTCCACCGCTCTGCTTTCCTTTCTTGAAGCTTGGCCGGATCTTGTGTATATGAGCAGCGGATCTGCTACTACCGGTCTCACTGAAAGCTCTGAGGTGAGATTCAGCCGTCTCTGCGTTCTTGCAGATGTCAATGCAGCCAAGTGTCAGCTTCCTCTCTTGAAATAACCGCTTCCTCGTTTGTGCATCATTGGTGCCCAGCAATATTTTGTCCCTGAGGAGACTGTCTCATTCATTGACAGAAATTGCATGATTTGGCAAGAGATCTGAGGTTGGCAAGGAATGATTAAAAACTCTCACCGATTCTTGTTGTCGCTTGTTGAAAAGGTATCTCTTATAAGTTTCATTTTTTTCGCCAACAGCATACCGTTCGAATGCTTCAATGATTTCAGCCAGGTTGCTAGTCTCCCCATTAGTAAATACAAAACTGTTGTATATCTCGAGTCTCGATGTACGCATCCAAAATTCAGGGTTATCGATCCCGTTGTCTCTGTTGATTGGTTGAGCATGCCATTGTTCTCGCCCGGCAGGCGAGCCGAGCCAATTGGTTGAGCACCCCTGTGCTTCGGCCAATAGGCCTTGTCCGTTATTGTTCTAATTATTTGACTGCAGGTCCACCTGTAGAGTATAAAACAGCCTCCATAGATTTCTGACGCAATGTTCTTGTCATTTATACAAAAAAATACTCTAAAAACACTTAACTGTACCTTCGCTCCACAGTATCCTGCCTTTCCGAAAAGGTTGATGCTCCTTCTTTTTACAAATTCAGCTATTTGCAGCTGCTCCTCCTTGCTGTAATGAACAAGAAGATGTGTAGATCTATATCAACTGAGTTTTAAAAAACACAAAAGTTAACATTATTACAAACTTAATTTTTTTTATCACAGAGGATTTATAAATTTTTTCCTTGTTCTAACATCATATTAATTCCAACATGATATACCATTTACTCAAAAAGGCTCAGCAAAACTAAAATGCAGCAATGTGCAAAAAAAAAATACATGGATTAAGTGAGAGCACTTTAATATGTCAAGGTACACACTAAAAATCAAAATGGAGAATACATGGCAAGCAACCATCATCTTGAATTGCATGTCATGAGGTCTAAGTTATAACCGACTTACATTGCATGGTCTAGTATATCTAAGATGATATTGCTCTCATAGGATTCATATTACCTCATCTGCATTTTTGGCAATAACTTAATTTCAACTATACTCTATAGATCTAGTGTGAAGGGTCCACTCATTTTTCTGGAGGACTCCTTTTACAGTTTGCACTGCTCTCTCAGCGATGCCATTCGTAGCTGGGTGGTAGGGTACTCCTCTGATGTGATTTATTGCGTCCATCTTCTTGAATTTAGCGAATTCATCACTGGCGAAACGGCCCATTATCAGAAACCAGCATGTTGGGTAGGCCATGTGTTGCGAAAACTTCTCTTAATTTTTTTTATTGTCGCCTCGCTTGTCGATTTCGTAATGAAGTGAACATCCATCCACTTTGAATACGCATCAATTATTACTAGAAGCATTTTACCTTCTACCAGGCCTGCATGATCTACATGAATTCGCGACCACGGCTTGCTGGGATATTCCCATTGAAGTAGCGGCGCTTTCGATGGCTGTCGTTGGTGTGCTTGACATTTTCACTTTTCACTTTTCGCTCCAAATATTTGTCGATTTGCGGCCACCATATGCAACCTCGCGCATTTGTTTTCATTCAGACTAATCCTGGGTGAGCATCATGTAGCTCCTCCGTTATCTGATCACAGCATTTCTGGGGCAGCACCATGTATGGACTAGCGTCGCTAGCTAGTATCAGCTGTTCTTTCGGATCGTAATGGGTCAATACCCTCATTGATTTCCCTGTCTTCTTTGTTGAGTCCTGTGATAACCTCATAACTGGTCCACAACTGTCTGATTTTTTTCCAATTTCCACTGAGGTCGCCATCTACCTTCAGTGGAGGAAGCAGAGGAAGAAACTGGCCTAAAATACAATCGGCAACAATCTACACAAATCCACCGTACATATAAATGCCTAGGAGATTATTTATCTCCACAAAGCATGCACATATGTCCACGTGGGACCACACTATACAATGCATCCGCGATAATCAATCTAAACATCAAGTTAAAACATGCCTAAAATATCTGTTTCACTCTTATCATAGGTTCTATACTAGCAAATAAAGGCTAGTTACCCTCCGACACCATGTTAGTTCCTATCTTTAATACTGGAAGTACATATTAGTTACATTAAGAGGCTCAAATAACAGTGATGATGATGATGATGATGATGATGATGATGATGATGATGATAGTTATGCTATTTGTAATGTTTCAATCCCCATTGTAAATAGAACAGTCTTTCAAAGTGAAGATGAATTGTATCTAGAAAGATGCCCTTCTCACAGATGAAGAAAAGTATTCAAAGCGTCAAGTGAATTTGTAATAGAGATAAATTTCTTTATGTAGAATTATGTTAAGAAATTCCTTTGTTGGACAGTCAACTTGAATTATTATAGAATATATTAAGAGTATTTATTTCTTTAAAATTATGAAAGAGAGAGAGAGAGAGAGGGAGAGGGAGGAGATTTACATTTAGTGTGTTAATTTGAGATTTGAGTTGAAATAATCAGTATCGATTCTAAAAAGTGAAATATTATTAAATTACCCTCATTTTTGGTAGTGTATTCACATTGTTTTCAAATTCTTGTGTATCTGAAATGTTTAAGAAAAAAATGTAGAATTTGAGTAAATATGTGTAAAGGTTTCGAATGAAACTGAAATAAACAAACTTCTATTTACAATTTATTATTGAATAACGGTCATTCCAATAACTTATCATATTGTGTCTTACTAGTAAGGGGTTTGCAAATAAAGATATATTCTATTATCTGATGCCAATTTTGTTTGAAATTCTTTTATTACAACTACTCAATATACAAGACATGAATGCAAATTGATAGTGTTGGTGAGTGACAGAGTAAGATTGAAGTCTATCTTGAGTTTTTGTTAAAGAATTGCAATTTGAGAGGACTGGCCTAATTTGATTTTGATTTTTTTTTCTTCTCAACGCAGTAGATTGTTTGGATTAGCAAATCATAAACAGACTGAAAAAGAAAATGCTGAAAATCACATTCACTGGAAAAAAACCCAATTTGCATTTGCACCTCTTCAGGACTATTAGCTTGATCCCGTTTGATCTTTCTTTGCTTTCTTTGACATAAGCTGACTTTGCACAAGTCAAAACTCTTCAAAGCCGATGCTCCCAAGATATTTCCCTTTTATGTACTCTTCCTTTTGAGTTTATAGGTTGTTTTGTATTTCACATCTGGTCTGGGAATAGCGTTGCATCCTGTCTGAGCAATTATTTTAAGATGTTCTTCTCATAGCTTTTGAACAAGAAATAAAACCTAGACATGTATTGATTCGTGCGGTCGGAATTAGACCCTTGCTCAAACCAAATTCGGAAGGTAGATGTACTATCGATCTACTATAATTATATCCTAGTCTGTAATTAATCGGATTTGTTTTACTCTCATGAGACTGGAGGCAGAGTCCGGAAGATCCCACCTTGAAAGAAGGAGATACCGGGCTGGGAAAGTTCAAAGGGCGAGGACGAGGAAGTTAAAGAGAAACATCAAGCATAGGAATATTTGGAGATATGGAAGGATAAGAATTATATGCTATTGCATGTTCAAGGGAAAGAGAGGTATATACAGGTGAGGAAGGTGGGTTATATAGGTGAAAGGGATGATGCAGAGAGTTTAAAGGGCAGCATGAACCATTGGGTTATGGGCTATGACAGGTCGTAAATTAAATTGCTTGTTCAAGAGAAGGAGAGAGGTAGGTATATGTTTGAGTTGAGAAAAATCCAAGGATGATGCAAAGATAAATTAAAGGTCCACATCATGAATATGGATGTTTGGGTTATGACTGGTAGCAAATAAAATTACATGCTCTAGGGGAAATAGAGGCATATAGGCCTGCATAGTAATTGGGACGAGAAAGATCAAGGGAGATGCAAAGAGATGTTAAAGGTCACATCAAGAAATGGGACATTACAGATATGATAGGGCATGAATAAGATTGCATGCTAGAGAGAAACAACAAGATAGTTGGGTTGAAAAAGGTCGATGGGGAAAAGTAATGAGAACACAAAGGTGACTTAAAGAGGGCTTAAAGGTCCACATCATTGAAGCATTGGATATGACAGTTATGACGGGTTCCAAATGAGATTGCTTGCTTCAGGGAAACGGCAAGATAGTCTTTGATCATACAATCGCTGTGTGATGAGAAAGGAGGGTTATGATGTCTGCAAGGTAGGAGGCTCCATTAGTGAGATTCGGCCCGACCCATTAATACGGTCGGCGGTATCTCATCTTATAGATTGATGTTTATGTCTGGAAACGTACAAATAAACCTTCATTGTAAAATATGCTTGGGAGGGTGGATTTGTGGTAAATGCAAAAAGTATGCCATCAAACTTACGTTATTGATTATCCTTATTGAATATCCTTATTGTTAAATGTGATCACTTATTCCCTACCCCGACCCCTGACCCCTCCCCCCCCCCCCCCTCTCTCTAATAAGAAAAAATCTCTGGATGTTTTGAGTTCTATGGTAGTAATCAACATACTCCAAATATCAAATAAAGGCCAAGCGAAATTTGAGGAATTTTCCTATTTTCTCTTGTGAATTTTTAAATTGAAGTGGTGAGATTCCATATTATTTCATATTTGATGTTTTTGCCGCATACACAATTGCAACTGGGTCAGTTTCAATACAAATTTTTGTAATAAGAAATTCATTTGTAAATGCATGGCAGAGGCTCAAAACAAGATGAAATTGCATCATGTTGGCAATTTTGTTGCCTCATTTTAAACATTTTTTGATATACTATTTTCTTTTGTGTTAAAATAAAAATAGGGAATAACAACAACAGAAGAGGGAGGCGGGCAGAAAAAAAGGGTTGCTGAAAGTCTGGGAATTAATCTATTTTTACTTGGCTAGCTGAATTGTGCAATGTAAATGCTAAAATTGTAGTCTACATAATGAATTATATGACAAGATATTACCATGAGTAGATCTTTTGACTCACTATCATGAAGCTTGGTGTGTATTGAAGTCATCTTTTGAGATTGATATCCATACAGTCTTAATATAAATTCTCCTTGATGCTTTTAAACCATTAATCACTTGAATGTATCATATTGTTTTGGAGAATAATTTCATGGTCTTCTACCTGCACGCATGCACAAATATTTTTTTTCCTGAATATAGAAAACAATGCAAAATATTCAGACCCCTGGAGGTCGAAATGAAGGAACATATTATGATTACATTGTATAAATTTCCCCTATTTTTAGGAAAGGCGATTTTCAAATGCTTCACTAATTTTGTGTTTATGATTCAGAATTTATACATCATTTGATTAAATG